GTCGCGCTGTGATGACGTCAAATGCGTGCTTTCGTTGAGCGCGATTTTGTCCTCCGCGGTTTTGTGGTGGAACCAGGTTAAACAGTTGTTTCAGATTTGAAACAGTGGAGAATCCAGCTCTAAAGACCAAAACTTTTCTATTTGTAGTAGTAATCCACAGATTAAGGACACAGGGGCAGAAGCTAAGTTGTCAAATCATACTTGGGTTTATCACTATGGTAGTTATACATGCCAAACAATTTATTGTCTATATTCAATTGTTGTTTTCACACTAGAAATAAAAAAGCTTAAACCACAAAACTGCAACACTGCCTAAAGTTGCTGGGAATAGGGCAGTGTATACATGTAATAAGTAAATGTGAATCAAAATGCACTTGGGAAATTGAAATAATAATTTCACCTCATAGAAGAATTCTTCTTCGGCATTGGAAAACATTAGCTCTGTTTTCTGGTGGGTACCACTTCCTCTTTTTTTAGCATTCTTCTTATGAGTGTAAGTCTTGCTAATGAGAAGGTAGAAGTAGCATTTGCCACAGGGTTTGTTTGTACGCTGAGCTTCCACTATTTCTTTCCTAGAAGTAAAGATCAAGGAAAAAGCACTTCTGTTATATCCAGCCATCATCCCACAAACTGTAACCACTACAGTAACATTTTAATGTTTGGAAGAAAATGTGATTGTTTTAATGTATTCTCCAGCTACTGTGCTGCTCTGAAAACTACATAATTCAATTTGCCTGCAATATATTACTAAATATTTATGTCCCTTATAAAACAATATTTCCACAATTAAGTAAAATAATCTATTCACAGTAAGTTTGAATTAAAGGCCATATTAAACAACAATATTAAAATGCTAGGCTTCATTTCTTTGGCTCATATGTATTTTCTCTTTCCCCCCCTCCTATTCTAGATATTTCCATTTAAATAAGGTTTCAGAGGTCATCCAAGGATAAAAATTACAGTTCAAAAATGATTTGGGAGAAGCACTTACTGCAGTTGCTGGTGCATAGGCAGAGCAATCTGGGGAGGAACATTAATGAATCTTTCACTTAGTAGGAAGCCCACAGGCTTAGTGGTGTCACTTAAAAGCTTATCCAGCTGCTCAACCACATTCTGCTCACAGTTCTTTTCACACTGACTTAAGACCAGTTCTTTAATTTGCTCAGCACATTCAGTACCCTAGGAATCAAAAGGCAGATTTTTTTGGGAGGTACAAAATAATTTTTTACATAAGACAACTTGAAAAGCAAACTACTGGGCTTTTTTTTTTTAAGACGTAAGAAAATCACAGCTTTTAATAATTTGAAAGGATTTCTTTTAAAATTATCCATTCAATTCTCCCAACAGAAATGCTTGAACGTTTTGTCATTTACCCGTTTTTGTCTGATGAAGCCCAGAGACCCTTCCCAGAAAGTGTAATAAAATAAAATACATATATAGACTGTACTACAAAGTAAACCAATTATACTTGGTTATTAAAATATTAAAAATATTGAATATGTGATATAGTAGCATTGGATGGTGGGAAGCTACCGGTGGCAGCAGGTGGTCTCACCGGCACCCTGGGCCTAAGCCATGGAGCGCTTTAAAGGTC